CCCCAAAAAAATATTGTTTGTTAAATAAAATTATAAGCCCCTATCAACCAAAAGTTAAGCATGATATCACACACATAATCTTACTTGATCCCCCAAATAATCTCTGATGTAGGTACAGAAAAATTAAATAAATTGCTCAAGGACACACCATCATGGACTTTGGGATTTGGGGATTTTTATTTATTGATTGATTTTTACCATTTCAAGGTACTCAGAAAACGCTAAAGATTCTAGCTATCAAGGAAACGTAAAGATGACTGAATTAAGTATAAAAACTTGTAGACCAAGCAAATGAAAAGCCTTTCAAAGAGCTCAAAATCAGATAGAAAGGTGATTTTAAAGTAATGGGAGCAGTCTGTTTAAATTGTTATTTGTAGTTAATATTACAAGCTGATTAGTTGGGATACCAACTGGACATGTTTGTACAAAATCTTTAGATACTGTTGGTGACTTATTTGTATATAAAAACATCTCTCAGCTTAGACATGGTTACCCTAAATAGCCTTCCCCATTTCCCTGCCTCCCCCCCCTCCCCCCGCCCTGTAAAGCTTTTATTGTAAATTGAGTGATAGTTTACAGGGTAGATCACCAGTTATACACTCAACAAATCATATTTTGTTTCATTACAATGATTACAATCCCCTCCAACCATCATTGGTTAATAGTATTTACCTCTATTCTCTCTCGCTCTCTCTCTCTATGTATATTTTGATGCACACAAAACAGCGAAAATACATATTCATTTAAATGTCCAAAGGGCACATTTTGAAAGCTAGCCTCCTGCCCGCAGGCACATAGCCTTTATCATTCCATGGATCTAGAGTCCTAAACTGCTCTATCTCTGTATGCCATCACCTCTGCCTACATTTCTGCTATAGTCACTTCTTTGGTTAGGATCCCATGCTCCACTCACACTCTTCCTTTTTGATGGTCTTAGGGCCCTCTGTTTCTGAAATGAAAGATTAACTACTCCCCACTTTCTGTTTCACATCTTCTACCTTTACAATTGTGACAACTGCAATTAATCATGATAACAATTACTCACTATTGAATAAAATAAATCCTATCTCCATCCTCTCCCATCCTCTTTCCTAAACAGCCTTTAAATAATACAGATTCACCACAAGGAAGCACCCTACTTATAAAATCAAGTTTCTGCGTTCCATGTCTACTTTTTAAAAGGACTATTCATCAGTTTGCAAAATGGCTAACATAAAGAGAAAGTGAAGAGGACTTAAAACATTTACTGATGAAGATCAAAGAGCACAGCCTTTGGTATGGATTGCATCTCAATATAAAGAAAACAAAAATCCTCACCACTGGACCAATAAACAGCATTCTTAACAACAGAGAAAAGATTGAAGTTGTCTAGGATTTAATTTTTCTTGGATTAACTATCAACACTCACGGAAGCAGCAGTCAAGAAATCAAACGACATATTGCATTAGGTAAATCTGCTGCACAAAACCTTTTTAAAGTGTTGAAGAGCAAAGATGTCAGCTTGAGGGCTAAGGTACTTCTGACCCAAGCCATGTATTTTCAATCACCTCATATGAACTCAAAAGCTGGACAGTGAATAAGGAAGATCATAGAAGAATTGACGTATTTGAGTTGTGGTGTTGGAGGAGAATATTGAAAGTGTCATGGGCTGCCAAAAGAACCAATAGATCCATTTTGGGAAAAAGGCAGACAGAGCGTTCCTTGGAGGCCAAGATGGCCAAACTTCATCTCTCATACTTTGGATATATTGTCAGGTGAGACCAGACCCTGGAGAAGGATATCATATTTGGTAAGCTGGAGGGCCACAGAAAAAGAGGAAGACCCTTAACGAGATGGATTGGCCAAGTGGCAGCATCGATGGACTCAAGCAACAGTAGTGAGTTTGGCCCAGGATCAGGCAGTGTTTTGTTCTGCTGTGCATACGGTTGCTATGAGTCGGTACCAACTTGATGACACCTCACAACAATAACAATCATAAAGAGATTTGTTTGGGTAACAGGGTTCTTTACAATAAACAATGAGGCTTAAAAATAATCATGGAAAAAATGGAATTAAAAGATAGAACATTTTCCTACAAACTTTTTAAAGCCTCCTTGCACATGAATCCCTACTATTAGGGTACTGAAGTCTTGTTACAAGTTGTCTCCACCTAAATCCATATATATCAGAGAAGAAAGTTCTAAGCTAAAAGGCAGAAATCAAAAGGAGGAAGAAAGAAACATACATAACAACATGATATCAAAACTAAACGCACTGATTTCAAGTCATTTCTGAATCATAACAAACAAAAGGAGGAAGAAAGAAACATACATAACAACATGATACCAAAACTAAACGCACTGATTTCAAGTCATTTCTGAATCATAACAAACATGAAAGACAGAACAGACCTGCTCTATTCCTTGTGTGGAACTGTGGGTTAATGCACCAAACTGCAAATTCAGTTTAGCGGTTCAAGCTTACCAGCTGCTCCTCAGAAACCCTATACAAGGTCACTATGGGTTGGAACTGACTCGACAGCAAACAACAACATAGAGATTCCAAGGCTACCAATCTTTACAGGAACAAATTAGCACATCTTTCTCTCAGAGCAGTTGATGGGTTTGAATCACTCATCTTTCAGCCAAATACTTTATCCACCATGCCACCAGGCCTCCTTTGGAACCATGATAGGTATTAAATTAGTCCTCAGAATCTAGAGTTTGGCTATCTGGATTCAAATCACTTTGCTCTGCCTTTGACTGAGTTTTTGATGAGTTATTTAACTTATGAATTATTGTCCATCTATGTAAAATGTATATATTAATAGCAGCTTATTTCATAGAGTTATTATGAGAATGAGATGAGTTAATATAAGTTAAGTTCTTAAACAGTGCCAGGCATACAGTAACCCTGACATAAATGTTAGTGAAGTAAAATAAAGTAGGGAGAGTGAGAGATAGAATAGTAGAAACTGCATTCCTTTAAGACATTACTTGGCATCTTTCACATAGCCTCTGACTTTCCACAGCTGGGGCACTTGAGTCTTATAGTAAATTTAGCCCCATTTCTGGTTTGGCCTCGTACTGTTCTTGTTCAGAGAGATTTAAGAAGTGCTGGTTCAGCAATTCAGGTGATTCAGCATTAAGTGAAGCTTGCTGTTATTCTTGTCCTGACCTTGTGTCCCAGTTTTAGTCACTTGTTCCTGTAATCAAGTCCCAAGAACTGGTATTCTAGTTCTAGCCTTCTGCTCCCCTGTGGCCAAGTCCCTGTTTGCAGACTAACTCAGGACCTCCAGTTCCTTGGAAGCAGACATCTCCTGATTGGCTACTCTGTTTGACACACAAAGTATTTCAACTTTTGAAAATGAGTGGACTGTATTTAAAAATTATAAAATGTTAGATAAAAACACAAATTTCTGACTTCTCTTGAAAACATTGGGCAATCTAACAGCCCTGAGCCCCCTTTCTCCATGGGAACAACTCACTGGAGAGGTGTGGCAGCTGTCCTTAGAGGGCCATATGCTCTCTGACACCCAAGTCCTCATTCCATGGGCTTCACTTAGTTCTGTGACTTGCTTGGTTATTATAGGCATTTGAGGTCTACCAGGGTCTAACAGTGGGCTGCTACTGAACTGCAAGGTCAGTAGTTCGAAACTACCACAGGAGAAAAATGAGGCTCCCGTAAAGATTTATAGCCTTGGAAACCCTGTACAGGGTCACTTAGCATGTTATACAAACATTGTTCTAAGTGCTTCACATATGTTTGCTCATTTAAGAAATGATCAGAAATCTGTTTGTTTATGTCCTTCAGCCCTTCACCCTGTTTTACAAGTTCCTGTCTATAGAACCTATAATCGTCACAGCGACCCAGATCATCCTTCACCCAGTAGCTAGGGTCTACTCATAAAGCTTTGTTGAACTCCCATAATGACAACCACTCCTTCATACTGTGTTTTTATTCACTGACTCCAGTCTGCTCTGTGGCAGCCAGTGTCTGTCCTCAAGAACTAAGGCCATCATACCTGTTGTAACACAAGTCCAGGATCCTAGGCTTTACTGATTGCTGTTGTGAAGTACCGTGGAGTCGGTTCCGACTCATAGTGACCCTACACAGGGTTTCCGAGGCTGTAAATCTTTACAGGAGCAGAAAGCCTCATCTTTCTCCCACGGAAACGCTGGTAGTTTCAAATTGTTGACCTTGAGGTTAGCAGCCCGATTCGTAACCACCACACTACCAGAGCTCCTTGCTTATCCTATTATCTCATGAGCACTATGTTTTTATAAAACCACACATCCTGGTGTGGCACTGTGGGTTAAAGCGCTAGATTGCAAGGTCAGTTTGAACCAGAATGTCACTAGTTCAAGCTTATCAGAAACCCTATACAGGGTTGCTATGGGTCAGAACTGACTCAACATTTAACAATAGTCAGACTTCACCTGCTCTAATTCTTATAAAAGCCTAACAAAATCCATCAAATATTTCTTGCTCACTTATGTTCTCAGCACTGTTACAGAAATTGATCTGAGTAACCCTGTTACAAGAAACCCAGAGAAGCTTAATGAACCATCAAGAAAGTAATATTTGAACAGAATCATCTTTGTTTTTAATTTTTTGTATGATAGGCCTTTGTGACCTACAAAACAATGAAGGAAAGACAGAGTATTTGCATGACTAAGCAGAGATCTAGCATAACTAAATTGGAGTTCTGGCTGGAGCTGTGAGTTAATGCCCTGGACTGTAAAGTCCTTTAAACCACAAGGCCAGTGGTTCAAGCTCACCAACCACTCCTTGGAAACCCTATACAGGGTCACTATGGATCTGAACTGACTCAATGGCTGTTAACAACAACAAGCAGAGATCTAGAAAAAAATCAAAATTTAGCAAATATCACAACACTAATACTCCATATTATGTTACAGATTATGTGGGTTAGGTACAATTGAACATATATTGAATTTTAAATTTGACTAAGTTATATCATAGTTTTTAAAGAAAATATTAAGGAAACTGGCACTTACATATGGAATCGTGTCCAAAGTATCTGTGTTGACAATTATAGGAGCAGGACTTGCCTAAAAAAAGAGAAGTAGAAACAAATGTCAAAAACCATTTGTTACAAAACAGAAACTGTTCATGTATTTAACAAGAGCTCCACTGGCATTTCTTGAGGACCTATGGAGGTGCTGTATCAGATTCCAAGTGGGATACATGAAATGGCTTAGAATTTCCTACCATACCCACTCTAGATATTTGTTTGCCACATTTACCTCATAATGAAATGAAATAAGTAACAATACTCAGAATGATTTTTTTCTTAAATGATACCCAACAATGTAGGAGGTGAAGACTTGTGCTATGTATGAAGCAAGGATTTCTAATAAACAGGATGAGAGTTAAATTCTGTGACATTTCTTTTTAACAGTAATAGCTCTGCTAAAGAAATCTGATTTCTCTCTCAAGGAAGCAAAATTAAACAGTTATTTATAGCACTTCTCTTTAAACTGCCTTTTGAAAGTAGGTTGTATTCAATGCAAAATAGAAGGGTTCACTTACTGGCAACTTAAATATACACTTTGCTATTTTCTTATTATGCATGTTGCATCATACCTTTTCTTCATCATACATTGCTAATGACATACATTATACATTTTAGGTGGAAAGTTGCTAATTACATACATTAGAAATCTTTAGGTGGAAAGTTAAAAATTAGAGATGACAGAAAATAACACTAGATACATTGAACTTTCTTTTAAAACTCTATTTTGTGTAAACGGAAGTAATTCCCTCTAAGGTGGAGCTAGAAGCTGAGTAACACGGATATAGGCATGCTACAAGCCAACTCATTAGAAAATAAAAGATTGCAATCTCTATTTGCATCAACCAATCTGACTTCATGAATATTGAGTAGACTTATCTTTACTTTTTAGTTTCTAGCATTTTCACAGTAACTTTCTCTTCATCGCCCAAAGGATCTTTAATCTCCTTTCCAAATTACAGATTTCATTTAGATAGAGGAAACACTCTCATCATGATTAATCGAGAACTGTCCTATACGACACGGTGGCTTTGGCAAGTGCTCAACTTTTGGGACATTTCATTAGCTGTGCCCTCTGGAGTTAACAGCTTTTTAATGCCCATCTGTGCCTGTGGAATCCTAATCAAAAGCTAAAACAAATGGCGATATAGCAGATTCTATAAAACAAAATTTCAGGCTTTAACCAAAACTACATGGTGACCATAATCCTACATAGTAGGTCAACAATGTGTTCATGGTATATTCATAACTCCAGAGGGAAAGCACCTTGTTAGCAAACAGGGACTTTAGATAAAGACCACTTCTGAAGGTGAGACATAGAGATGCCTCTGGATGTTGTATGCTAGCTGTTAAAGCAATTAGCTGATGCCTTACTTTGTGTCTGTTTTGAGGACGTGTCTCTATGCTTAACGTAAAGTTCCAATGAAAATTTTGCTTCATCTCCTTCAACTATTCTGAAAACTGAGTGTTATACCTAGTGTTTTCTGCTCTTATACAAGATAGTTTTAATCAATAAATATGCATTGGCTTGATTTGGAGCTTTCATCCATCTTACTTTTGTTTTTCGTCATAAATCGTAATGATTTTTTCTGGTAATAAATTTTATTGATACACCCATTTCCTTTACAATGCAATTTATCACTTTTCTATGTAATGTTATTTTTCATTTCATGTATGTAACTGTGGTCTTTCCAATCAGACTCCGTATTTAAAAATGACAAGGTTATATACTTTAGAATACTTCACAACACTTGGGTACATAAAAGAAGTTCAATAAATACTTAGTATCTATTGATTAAATGTAGTTATAAAATATAGGTGACTGTAAAAAGGAAGAGAATGCCTCCTTCTTGTGCTTGTAGAGTAATTCTAACATAACCTAAAATCTATTATGTTACAAACAAGACAGTCACTAGTTTTCCAATTCCAATACAACCTGTTATTTTTTAACTGGTCCTTACTAGTCCTGGTGTGGCATTGTAGGATAAGCACTGGGCTACTAACCACAAAGTTGGCGGTTCAAATCAACCAGCCACTTCTTGGACACCCTACAAAGGGTTGCTATAAATAGCAACCGATTAGATGGTACTTAACAACACCACCATATACTTAACTAAACTAGTTTTTTTAGTGAAACAATAATTATGCATTGCATAACTACAGAATATAGAGATTGAGAATCATAAAATACAATCCATTCAATATGGAAATCATTTTGTTTCTTCTCAGTGTTAAAAAGATTTAGAAGACACAATTAATACCTACATCTCTAAATGTCACTAACAATGAGTGAACAAATACAATGTGTGGATTGTGGATTGAGTAAGTTTATGCATACATGACCATGACATCTCCTTGGTGTAAGTATAATGTGCCATGGTTGTTGTTGTTGTTGTTATGTGCCGTGGAGTCAGTTCTGACTCATAGCAACCCTGTACAGAGTTTCCGAGGCTGTAAATCTTTACAGGAGCAGAAAGCCTCATCTTTCTCCCGCAGAAAAGCTGGCAGTTTCGAACTGCTGACCTTGCGGTTCACAGCCCGATTCGTAACCATGTGCCATGGTGGGCCATTCTAAAAAACACGCTCGCTTCTTCACTGTGCTGGTAGTGTAGGCTCCCTAAAGATCTCCCTTTGTTTGTTCCAGGACCCACATGGCTCTCCTTAGTCTCTTAGAAACTTTCAGGTACTTAATGACACATTTTTCAATAGAGAATACAAATACATAGCAGCAGCGACAAGGAGTACAGTAAAATGTAAGTATGGCCCATGAATGTACTCTTCTCGTTAGTAATTTTACCTGACTTCAGCCTGGCTGCTGTTCCTTTACTCACTTTCATAATCATGAAAGTCCATGCCTAGTTTTACTGAATTTGAGTTCTGAGTTTTAAAACTGATTTTCCTGGTACTTTCACATCTCCCTACACACTTCTTGTCTATACTTCTAAAGTACCCTGCATTTATGTTCTTTCTCTTCATATTGGGTACCTTCTTTTATTGGGAGTCCTGGTGTGGCAATGTAGGTTAATGTGCCAGAGTGCAAAGCCATTTGAATTGCAAGGTCAGTGGTTCAAGCTCATCAACTGCTCCTCGGAAAACCTATACAGGGTCACTATGAGAAGAAACCAACTCCACATGGTACTATACCACCACCACCACATCACACTGGTGACTCAACAGATAAATCATTCTTTACATGTCCTCCCTTCTAAATCTGGGTATGTGGATGTTCTCATGTTCTAGTCACATATAAGCTACTAAAGTTCCAAGTCTCTGGTATTACTGTCCATGGTGCAACTACAGGTACTTGGATAATGGTTTGTAAAGTGGCAGACAAATTCAACATGCACATCTTCATTATTTCTAATAAGATTTATAACACACCAGAAAAATCTTCTTAAATCCTAAGTTTAAAGTTTGTTTACATATAAATCTATACAAGAATTTTGGATACTACAATGGAATATGGAAATCGATTTCTCAGGCCTTTACCTAAAATTTTAACAGAAGAGCAAAGAAGACTAAACAGGGAAGTGATATAGAAACAGCAAGAATGATTTTCTACATGGGGTTATATGCTGACTTAAAACAAAATGGATGTATCTAAAAATGTTTTAAATGAGTCAATATTGTGTGATTTCAGACCTAGAAATATAAGCTAAATATTTGGTAGCATAGATTGTCTGATACTTGATACCTTGCTAATAGTTTTCAGCTTCAAGGTTCAAAATGGGGGACACCATTGGATCACGTGTTAATACTGCTGGGAAAAGAAGGTCTAAAATGAGACTTCCAGCATTAAGTACTGAAAGGTGTATGACAAAGGTTGAATCCAGGCTAACTGTATTTTGTGTAGATAGAGGATTTTGCCCTAATCCTCTATCATATTTGGCCCAAATTTGAAATTAAAAGAAGAGGGGTTGGAAAGACCAGTTGCTGTCTTGATTTTCTGAAGTACACTTTAGTTATCACCAACAGAAAACCACTCTTCCCTCCCCATATGTTATCTGTTTGGCAGGAGGCTGGCATTAGTAAGTGTTGGTTGGGTCATAGTTCAAGTTTAAGGACTTATGTGGTATTTTTAATTGCCTTGCTGAACATCACCAGTACTTAAAGGCACATGGAAGCATGATACAACTCTACCTGGATCCCCTTGTATATTAATATTGGGTGGGCTAAAAAGAGCAATCACTTTATTTATCAAAACAATATAGTGTTTTTATATAAATTAATATATTTAATTTTCATAGAATCCTGTAAGACAGTAGTACCATTATTCTCATTTTACAGATAGAAAATCCAAAGCTCAAAATTAAGAAGTTTTTCCAAAATTATGCAGTAGGTAAATAGGATTATCTGAAGACCAGGCCTTCAAACCCAGACAGTCTGGTTCCAGAGAACACACTCTTGATAGTCATGCTCTACTTCCGCTCAGGATGGATTCAAACTTGACCAGACCTCTTTGTGCTGCTGACCAACGTTTCAGAAGCCAATCCAAAGCTAAATCAGTACTCTCTAACTTGAGCTGGCTTGACCCAAAATCCTCCTTTCCATGCTCTGGCTCATTTATTGGAACTCCAACTGATCGTGTGAGCAGGAGGCATAACTTAGGAGAAAGGCATACCCAGAGCAACTCAGTCACAAGTTCCTTCAGAAAATGCTTGGTAAGTGACTGACTGAAGACATTTTGATGGTTGTGTATGAGAGGAAGAACACAATGGAAAAACAAATACCTACTAGACATGCAGCACTGAAGCTTGAACATTAAAGCTTATTTCTTTCTAGTCACTCACATTATAAATATGAAAATGGAGACAGGAAAATGGAGTGCTATGCCCCAGGGCTCACAACCAAGTAATAAAATTGAGGATAGGCAATAATAGTAAGATTTTAATATTAAACATGTTGAGTGAGCATTATGTTCTAGGGATTATGATATATACTCATACATTTAATTCTCACAGTACTATGAGGAAAGCATTATTATTTCTAATAGAGAGAAAGAGAGAGAGCAAAAAATATGAGATGTAAGACAAAGAA